TGGCCCTGCCATACCAGAAAAACATAAAGGTTGAACAACTGAATATTCATCACAATAAAGCAGCATTAGCAATGATCCTGCGACACTTTGACGAAGAAAAGTTGGACATACTACTGATTCAAGAGCCCTGGATTGTTCAAAACGCTATTAAGGGACTTGGTACATCAGTTGCCACGCTGTTCTTTCCACAGGCAGCTGGTAAAATAAGGACATGCATAATGGTGACGAAGGGGATACAATGCATCCAATTGCCTCATCTATGCTTACCAGATCTTACTACGGTAAGAGTAGGGAGTGATGCCAATACCTTTATCGTGGCGTCAGCCTATCTACCATACGACTCTACTGAACCACCTCCCAGTCAGAAGGTAATCAGACTGATGGAGTATTGTAGGACGAAAAGGCTAGAAATTGTCATAGGATGTGATGCGAACGCACACAACATTGTGTGGGGTAGCAGCGATAGTAACAACAGAGGGGAATCTCTCCTCGAGTTTATTGAAAAATACAATCTGATGATTGCAAACAGGGGGTTAGAACCTACCTTCGTTGACGCACGAAGGTCAGAAGTTATTGACCTAACCCCGTGCTCAGGCGCAATGACACAGAAAATTGAGAAATGGAAGGTTACTGATAGACTAACAATGTCGGATCATCGGGCTGTACACTTTAAAATACTCTGTCGTCCGAAACGCACTAATAGTCAGAGGCTAGTAAGAATTCCTGAGAATACTGATCAAGTAACGTACTTGACGTTGTTGGCGGAATTATTACAAAACAGGCCGCTGAGGAAACTCAAGACCACATGGAATATAGAGACAGAAATCAAAGCAATTACTGCTGCGATGATTAATGCATTCGAAAACGCTTGTCCCCAAACCAGCATTGCAGAAAAGTCGTCGACACCTTGGTGGAGTCAGGATCTTGATGTAAAAAAATGGAGACAAGGAAAGCCTTTAATAAATACATAAGGGAGAAGAACTCCGAATCATGGGACCTGTATAAGGCCAAAAAGCGTGAATTTAAGAAAGCATTACGCAACCGGAAACGGGAGTCGTGGCGGAATTTCTGTTCGAGCATGAAGGGACCTCTGAAGTAAGTCGGTTACAAAAGATGATCACCAAAGATCCGGTCTCAAGACTTGGTTTAATCCGAAAGAAGGCTGGTACAATGACGGAGACAGTAGGTGAGTCTGACTTCAGGTGGCATTTCGATGGCCATCATGATGGACATCGAAGGAGCCTTTGACAAAGTAAGCTTTGATAAATTAAAATCTGCTCTAGCTGACCGAGAAGTCGGTTCACTCATTATTGGATGGATAGATTTCATGCTAAGGCAAAGAGCAGTAAACCTACAAAATGGAAGACATAGACTGAGAGGCAGAACAGTCAGAGGCAGCCCACAGGGAGAGGTGCTTTCACCATTTCTGTGGAACGTGACCATAGACTCTCTACTTCAACAGCTTGACTTCAAAGGCATACAAACAATTGGGTATGCGGACGATATAGCACTGATGGTGAATGGCAAGTTCCCAGACACCTCAAATGCGTCGAAAAATGGTGTAGGGAACAAGGCCTAGCCATCAATGTCGCGAAATCAGACACTATCCTCTTCACGAGAAAGAGAAGTCTGTCAATGGAGCCTTAACAACTTTTTGATAATAAAATTCGCATATCAAAGTCGGTGAAGTATCTAGGTGTTGTCCTAGATAATAAACTGACTTGGAATGAACATGTGAATGAAAAGATCAGGAAAGCGAAGAGAGCTCTATTTCAATGTAAGAGACTGTGCGGAAGACGATGGGGGATACCCCAAAATCGATGTACTGGATCTATACGATGATGGGCAGAGCTATTATAACACATGCGTCAGTTGT